GAGGGGCTGAACGGCAATGTCCCTCCCAGGGCAGCCCCCCGCAGAACCAAGAGCCCTCGCCGTGGGGCCAGGCGGGGCCGCGGGGCCTGGGGGAGCCGGCGGCACTTCAACGGGCAGGCGGGTGAGCCAGGCGAGAAGGCAGCACCCTCGGGGCACCCGCCCCACCTGGCCTGGAGGTGCAACGGTGAGATCCTGGTGCCAGGCACGGCCGGCCCGCTGGCCCCCAGCAAAGCAGAGGAGATAAAGGTACGGACCAGGGGGCCTCTCTGGCAGGGGCTGGAGCCAGATCTCGCCCCTCCCCACGCCTCAGGCTCAGCTCTCTTGTGAGAGCCCTGAGCACAGGCTCCGACTGGCTGGGGGGCGAGGGGGGGAGCCAGCGCAGTGCCAGACCCAGCCACGTCCTTTGTCTTTGCAGGGGAACCCCGGGAGGCTGCGCCCGTCCCGCCGGGGCCGGAGGAGAAAGGTCAGGTGAGTGGGGGGCGACCTGGGATCCTGTGGCCCTGCCCCCCCCAACAGGTGCCATCTGCCCCATTCCCTCCTCCCTGACGTGCTCTGTCTTTGCAGCGCTCCCCGGCCTAGCACCCGCCTGGAGACGCCACGAGCGAGGGGCCCAACCGCCGAGCCAGGCTCCGTCCCCACCGTAAGTGCCACCGGTGGGCGGGGCAGTGCAGGGCAGCAATAGGTGCCCCCCCCCCCCCCGGGCGTCTGGGCCCCTTCATCTATCTCATTCAACAGCCGCTGGCGAGGGGCTGAATCCAGAACAAGCCCTGGGGTCCTGACTCCTCCCCAGGGGGGAGACGTTTGCCCCAGCTCGGGGATCGATCCAGCAGCACCCTCCCTTCTCACCCCTGCAGGAGGACGGTGCCCCTGGGGCGGCGCCCCCGGCCTGGCCGCCCCGCCAAGAACCGCCGCCGGAAGCTGGTGACGTAGCGTCGGCCCAGAGGTACCCAGGGGAGGTGAAGCCGAGCTGAGGCCCGGCCGGGGGCCCCCTGTGGACAGTGAGGGGCCCGGCGCAGGTGCCGTTGCTGGCAATGGGCACTTACCGCTCCGCCCAGCAGGAGGCAGTGCCGGGCCGCGGCTGCCAAAGCACTTCTGAAGCCATTCTGCAATGCAGTGAAATCCCAGGGAGCCGGGGCGGCGCCCCCTGCAGGCCGGGGCTGCTCCCAGCCGCTGCCGTTCTGCCCGCCCCCCCGTATCAAGGCTGTGGGGGGGAGGGCTCCTCCCCTACCTCAGGCCTGCGGGTCTCAGCAGGGCCAGGAACGCCTCAGGGGTTAGCTTTCCGCATGTCCCGCTCACCAAAAACCTCCCTGTGCCCCTCGCCGGGGGGCAGCCTCCCAGGCAACGGTACAAAGCAATAAGCGTGGCATGGGCAGAGCCTGGGGGCGCCTGGCCCGTGACGCTGGGGCACCGGGAGGGACCAGGCCCCCAGCCCCCTTTTCCCTTGTTTTTAACTCCTCCGAGAACACTCAGGTCCGGCGGCTGGCGGGGCCCGGCCGCGCCGCCCGCCCACCCACACTACGCGCTCCCAGGCTGCTGGTGGGAATTATGCAAAGCGGGGGCTGGGCCCTGCCCCCCCCCCCCCTCACCGACGGGGCCTTGCTTTTGTAGACGCTGGAACCGGCCCCTGGGGAGCCACTTAATTTAACAGCTGGGGGCCGAGTGCCGCTGGCTCTTCCGCGGGGATTTTGGGGTGTTTTGTATCAATTATTAAAATGTGTATTTAAAAGCTGCGGTGTGTGGCGAGTGCCGGGCGCCGGGCCCCCTGAAGCAGGAAGGGGCAGGGCCAGGCGTGCGAGCAGACAGAGTTTAATAGTAAATAATTGTACAGGTTGATGAGCATGAGCCCCACCCCCCTTCCTCCCTTGGGCTCTGCCCCTCACCCTGGGTCATCAGCAGCAGAGCCCCCTCCCCCCACAGAAGGGCAGGGCCTGGGGGAGGGGAGCAGGGTGGCAGAGGGACTGGCGAGCCCCCCCCCAGCAGCGGGTATGGGGCCGCGGGGCTCATTGGGAGAGCTGCTTCACCCGCGCGTCCATGCTGGCGAAGTTCTCCTCCACAGCCACCAGGTTCTCCTTCATGGTCTTCTGGACCTGCGGGACAGAGAGTGGGTAGCACTGGGACAGGGGACGGCATGGGGACCCCCAGGGGTTCACTCGCTCCCAGGCCGGGGGGAAAGGGGTGTTGCTGGGATGCCCACCTGTGTCAGCAGCGTGGCGTTGTCCTTCAGGGAGTTGGCGATCATCTGCTGGGTGGTGTCCAGGTGGGTCAGGAGCTGCCCGAACTGCATGGCTGGAAGGGACAAGAGCCAATAGGCAGCAGCTCAGAGCTGCCCTGGGGCAAACGGGCACAGAGCCCCTTTCCCCCCTGCAGCTGCCCCTGCCCCTCACCTTGCTCATGCAGCTGCTTGACAGTGGCCAGTCTCTGCACCAGCGCGGGCAGGGTGGTGGCCATGGGGCTCCAGCGCTGCACGACCTCATAGAGCTGATGCACCTGGTGGCACCAGAGGGGGAGATGGGGAGGGGGGGTTATGCCAGGTAGAGGAGGGGGCGG